CCCTCTCTGTGTCCTTAAATGATTGTTTAGAAAAATCTTAAGTTCTTTTTCTATCTACAACAATAACTTGTGAGAAAGATACTCCAAATTTTGTTTGTTGACTATGCTGGTTAGGTTTTGGTTACTTATTTGTTTATTTTTGGCAACTCTACACAAACTAGGGTCATCAGCAAAAAGGGAACCTCAACTGAGAAAATGCCCCCATCAGATTGGCCTCTGGCAAGTCTGCAAGTTGAGTGAGCCATGTTGCAGGCCTGTAAGCAGAGCTCCTCTGTGGTCTGTGCTTCAGTTCCTGTCACCAAGTTCCTGCCTTGAGTGCTGCCCTGGCATCCTGGGATGATGCACTGTGATATGGAAGAATGGACCAAACAGACACTTTCTCCCCTAAGTTGCTCTTTAGTCATGGTGTTTTATCACAACATCAGAAAACACACCAGGACACTGATAAAAGAAGTAGAATATACATCATTCTACAATAATATTACATCTATGTTATTATCTTAAACACATACCTTAGCTCCATATTTTTCAATATAGGCATTAAGTCTCCCAGATTTAAAAAATGGTATCTATAACAGAAAGTCTACATTTGTAAAAAGGACTTAACATAGATATATATCACAAAACATTGTCATACATGAATATTTTAAGCAAAATACAACAGAGGGCACAGATTTCAGCTATTGTTCTATATTTCTATTCTATATTCATTTGAAGAAAGATACTATAATAACCCTTTTTTCCCTGAAAGATTATCTGTGACAGGTACATTGTCAAAGTGAAGTTGCCTGATATTGACATGTTCTCCAAGCCATACAAAAGGCAAATAAATTTCATATAAGTACTTGACAGCTTTTAAATATACAAGACATACTTAGACATGAATATGGAAAATGAACCTAAAAAGAAGTTTAAATTTAAAAGGCTTCAACCTATTAATGAAAGAAATATAAGTATTAAAAGACTGGTAGATATTATTTTGCTAGATGGGCATGGTATCAAATTGTTATCTAACTATATATCTATGACAATAGATTATGCAGCTCTCAGTCCTCGCGAAAGGAGCTTCTTTATGCAGTAGATGGTGATTAATACAGAGACTCATGGCTAGTCTGTGTGCGGAGAACAAATGGTTATGAGCTCTCAGTCCTAAATAGGATAACTATGTCATACTCCTTATCCTGCTCCTCTGGCTCATGGGACATCATGGAGGATGGGACAGACAGAAAGACTGTAAAAGCCAGAGGTTAGAGAGGACTGCTGTGAAATAGTTTCCTCCAGATATGACATGGCCATTGCACTCAACTGCACAGCAGTTGTGGTGGCCTGCACAGAATCAAGACAATCAACATTTCAGCATGAATGAGGGAGGGACATACAAGACCCCACATTTAGCTGAAAAGCTATTCAGAGTTAATGGCTACTAGGGAAGGGAGAATCTGTTTTCTTTAGGGGTGTGGTCCCTGTTGGGGTGAGTATTGTAGTAGATGGCGCTACCACCATGCATGTATGCTCTAATTAGAGTCAGTGGATTATTTTTTGTTTGTTTGATTTTTGAGACAGGGTTTCTCTGTGTAGCTTTGTGCCTCTCCTGGAACTCACTTGGTAGCCCAGGCTGGCCTCAAACTCACAGAGATCTGCCTGCCTCTGCCTCCCAAGTGCTGGGATTAAAGGCGTGCACCACCACCGCCCGGCGGGATTATTTTTTTAAGGAAGAATATATGAAGTAGGGAGTAGGAAGGAGGTGTAAATGGAAGGATTTGTGTGGGGGGGGAAGTAGAGAGAGAAAGTGATGGAAATAAATTATATGCATGTATGAAATTCTCAAATAATAAAAATGTTGATTTACTGAGATGAGAAATTTAAGTATATCTAAAATATTGACACAAGGCACTGAAGCCCATGCTATCTTATATATTGTACCATAACATTCTGTTCATTAGTGGTCTTTATTTCAGCATTTATATCAGATAAAGTTGAATATTAATTTAGAATCACAAGATAGATTTAAACATCAGGCATATCAAAGTTAATGGGACATTCATTCAAACTGAAATATGGGGTGGTTGGTCCTCATAAACCATCTTTAATTTCTGCTGCATACTTAATTTATTGTTTATTAATATTGCTTCCAACAATCAGTGATACTAACCGACATCACTACCCAAATTTGGTTTAATATTCCAGGCACAGGTGCTGTAAGAATATCTTCATGCAGAAGTAGCAACTGCCTATGGAGAAGAAATACATTATTTTCAAACTGAACTTGTCTACCATCTATACTTGTATGTTACTGAAATATCTAGAAACTTAGTCTAACATCTCACTTTTCTACCTATTTTGTTACTTTTCAGAGGGGTCAGAGGTAATTTGTAATAAGTATAACTAAATTACACCCAACCAGGAAGGATACAGATTTCCTGATGTACTTGGGGATTTAAGATTGGGTACACTCCAGACTGTCCTCCCCATTTTTGTCCTCAGCATTTTGTTTTGTTTTGCAACCATCTTACTATGTAGTTCAGGATGCCTCTAGCTTAAGATGCTTGTTCCTCAGCCTCCAGACTGCTGACATTATGGGTATTCACCATTGCTCCTAGCAATCTTACAGGCTTCATTCTTCTCTGGGATAGTTACTTAAATATATAATTTTGTCTTGAGTTCTTTGAGTACCTCAAACAATTAAAGGAACTAATACAAGAGAGTCCTTAATACTCAGGCTTCAGTTGAGCTGTTCCTTAAAGATTACCTTGGGTTAGGAGTTGCAAGATAGTTCTTAAAGAAATATTCTCCATTGTCACTTATTGATGTGAAAGTTCAGAAGTTATATTAATCTTTTAGTATCTTCAAGTACCTTGTAAAGAGTATATAGTAAATATGCATTACTTGGTATATTTTGGGGGAGCCTAATTTAATTCATGAATTAAGTCTTACAGAGAATTAAAATTTATTTTTTATCTTATGTGCATTGGTGTTTTGCCTGCATGTTATGTCTGTGTGAGGGTGTTAGTCCCTGGAACTGGAGTCTCAGACAGTTGTGAGCTTCATGTGGGTTGTGGGAAATGAACTCTGGTCCTCTGGAAGAGCATCCAGTGCTTTCAACCACTGAGCCATCTTTCCAGCCCTGAAAATTCAAAATTTTTAAAGCACACAAGAGGTCACAAATATGAAAGCCCAACAGTGAGATATTTACCTCAAGTATTTTAAATTCCCTTTTAAATGTACTCTAACATACATGGATTCTTTGCTTTCAAAATATCTATACAGATTTAGTAAGGGTTTTAAAGAAAATCCCTCTAAAATAGCTATAATGGGATTTTTAAAGTTGAAAGGCTTAGTTAGAAGACACGAGTTTTTACCTGCACATCTTTATCTGCGTACTCCTAATCTCTATTTCTGCCACCCTGCTACTCAATATTATCTGGGTAGCACAGAGTTTGTGTAAATCTGGAAGTATGATAAAGAACAGGGACTGTTGCCTGGACTCATTCATATCCGCTTGTTGACTATGTGTTCCAGCAACCAGACCTTCAAAAACAAACAGCTGTAAAAAGTACATAAACAGTTTTAGCAATAAGGTTTCAACCCCGACTCACCAGATTCTATTTGATGTCATGTCAGAATAAGAAAATAAAAATTGGTAAACTTTGGCCACAAACATATCACCATTTCACCGTCATGGTTTTCTATATCACTTGTATTAGACACATTTTATTAAGCTATTGCTCACCTATGATTATCCACCTTGACTAAAGTTCAATACTTTTTTTTTTTACTATATTCATAGAGTTATATACCTATTGATGGAATAAATTAGAATACTTTCATCACCTCTCCCAAGATTCTAAATCTTCAGTTTTACTACACAAATTGAATGGCTAATTTAAGGACAAATAATAATAAGAGTAGCCCTAATTTATTAAATGCATGTTTTTCCTAGGTACTTGCTGTATATTAGCCATATTATGTTTGGTAATGCATTCTACAGATGCTGACTATCAAAGTTTTGTTTTCAGAAAAATGAATCTTTCCTGTCACATAATTTAAAAATAAAAACGTGAAGCCGAGACCTGTACCATTTCAGATTCACTCTATAACCCACTTCAAGGTTAAAAAGAATATATTATTTTTTATTTTACATGAAAGAAAATGTTAGCCAAACTATGTAACTGTATAACCGTTAAGTAGATTTCATTTCCAAGAAATTACTTGGCTTTAAAACTTCTACTTGGGGGCGCATTTTAAAATTGCTAATTCACATATGCTGCCTTTGAAGTGTATAGCACGCATTACAGAAAACTGGAATGTAAATGTAGAGCAGGCTAAGGAAGGTCAAGTACTCCAAGGTGCACAAATTCACCAGTGGGCGGTAACTTAACACAAGACTGTCTTCCCTCTTTGAAAAGAAGCCACCAGCCCCGGACTCTGGAGCGTGGTTGGACCACAGTCTGATCACATTAACCAAATGCCTCCGGTTGTCGTTTGAGGGATGCGGGCTGTGACCTTTGGCGTGGTGAACAAATGCAGCTTCCTTAAACCACGGTATCTGAAGCTTTCTTCGGTGACGGCCCCGTGCTGGGCTCACGGCTGCAGCGTCCCCTCAGTGGGCTCACAATCAGCCCCCTTCTTTGGTTAGGCTCCACTTCCTCGGGGACAGCTATGATCTCCAAAGCCTTCAAGAACAAAATTGAAAAGGTGACGCCGAGTTCTAAGAGAAGAGTTATCATTTCCAGGCTAGGCCTAAGGCCAACCCGATTCAACACCGGCAGGCCGTGGTGTTAACACTGGGGGAGCAGCAGCGCCCCGACCTCCCCGGGCTGACACGGAGGCCTGGCAGCAGGCGATTCTGACCTCGGTCCCTCAGCCGCCCCCGTGCTCCCCACGGCCCCCGGCGCTGCGAGGATGCTGAGTGCTCCCTCAAGCCTCGCGCTCCCTCGGAACCTGCTGGCCTCGCACCCGGCTCCTCGCACCCGGCTCCTCGCCTCGCGCCGGGCTCCCCGCCTCACACCCGGCTCCCCGTCTCACACCCGCCTCGCGCCGGGCTCCCCGCCTCACACCCGGCTCCCCGCGCCCGGCTCCTGTCAAGTTCCCCGCTCGAACTCCCATCAGGCCCTGCGCGGGGCTCTCCCGGGACTCCCACGCTCCTAAGACCCTCCCACACGCCTGTCAGTCAGGACCCTGGGAGCTCCAGCCAGCGCCCTGCTCCCTGCAGGGTCCGCACTGGGGTCGGGCCCCCAGCGGCCTAGCCCCCCACTCGGCCCAGGCAGCACCCCACATCCCTGCCAGGCCCCGCGGAGGGCTCACCGGGTCTGGAGCTCCCCGAGGCCCCGCGCTTCCCAGGGCCTAATTGTGGCCCCTGGCAGCGGCTTCAGCGCGTGCACCCCTCGGTCCCAGCATGCCCTCTGCAGACAGTACGCCCCAGGGCTTTGCTTGCTTCCCAGAGAGCTTCGGTGCCTTCTCGGCACAGGGAGCAGTTTCCAGCATGGCGTTCCATGTCAACATGTCTGGAGTTGTTGGTCCCGTTATGCAATAATACGTGCATTGGGTCCTGTCGCCACCCCAGCGCTACCCGTGGGCTTTTCCTGACAAACTCCCTCCCTGCTTAGCACCCTCACTGGTCACCGGAATGCCTCAGAGCAGCTGGTTCCTGGGTCAGTGCGTGGCTGTTGTACCTAGAGTTTTCCTGCCTTGCCCACAGTCAGGACAAATCTCTGTCACCCGCCAGTGCCACAGCTGCTCAGACCCAACCAAGTAAACACAGAGACTTACACTCTACACATATACTTTACACATCTCCAAAGCCAGCTTTGGAGATATTTGGTATATTTGGGAATTTGGGCGTTGCTTTTCTTACTACTTCCTGCTGGAGGGGAGTGGGCGCTGTATCTTATGGGGACACAGAGAAAATTTAAGGATTATGGAGTAGTCCGTGAGGGTGTATCGTCTGAGCCAGTTGCCTTGAAACGATTCTGGATGTTGGATCATCTGGGCCATGGTGTCATCGGAGACCTTTCAGGTGGTCTTGGCTGGTCAAACCTGATGTATCTTAATCTAGAACAAATCCATAGCCCCTGGCTTTCTGTAGAAACAAAAGCAGAGCCTCCTTTCCAAAGCAACATTTCCTTACATCCAAATTTTGAAGTTAAGGTACCTTTAAAATATACATTTTGGTATAACTCAACAGCTTTTGTAATCAAATGTTTTTCTTCAGTTACGAATATCAAAGACAACATAATCCAGATTCTCTGTGTGGTAGCCATCTTTACGTGGCTTATTTTTTATATTACCTTGAGCCTATTGCTTTAAACTGCAGCCTTCTAAGACTGAACCGGCACTGTGGCTGCTGGCTCCACCCACTTCAGCTTCCCAACATGGCAGTGGTACATTTTCTGCCAGCTCTGGAAGCCATCAACTGTCAGAAATAGTGGGTCTATGCTTCTATCAAAGCAGCGTGTAGCCCAGAAACCTCTTTTTTTGTTTTGTACTAGCAAAGACTAAATCCACCATGCAGCTTAATGTGCCACTTGCAGAGACCTCATTCCCACCATACTGCAGGTTGAGCGTGCACACCAGGAACCTGCCATAGTAGCTCAAACATGCAGGCTGCCGCTAACTTGAGAGAGGCAACTAGGAACTGTTTTTTGCTCCGTTTTAGAATCTTTTTACTCAGGTTTTAGGTGGAAACTCTTGCCAACATGTTGGGCACCATTTGTAACTAGAGTTTTCCTGCCTTGCCCACAGTCAGGACAAATCTCTGTTACCTGCCAGTCCCACAGCCACTCAGACCCAACCAAGTAAACACAGAGACTTATATTGCTTACAAACTGTATGGCCATGGCAGGCTTCTTGCTAACTGTTCTTACATCTTAAATTAATCCATTTCCATAAATTTATACCTTGCCACGTGGCTCATGGCTTACTGGCATCTTCACATGCTGCTGGTCATGGCGGCAGCTGGCAGTGACTCCTTCTGCCTTCCTGTTCTTTCTTTTCTCCTCTCTGTTAGTCCTGCCTATACTTCCTGCCTAGCCACTGGGCAATCAGTGTTTTATTTATTGACCAATCAGAGTAATTTGACATACAGAGCATCCCCCAGCAGGCTGTGAAGCCGCAGGCCACACAATTGGCGGAGATGAGTAGACAGCTCCTTTGTGATGATGAAGCTCTGCCACTGCAAGGTCTTAAAAAGCTGGTAACATGTGCCTCTTGCTCACTTGACAGTTAGTTGCCACATAACACACTCAGGTGCTTTTCTAGGCATTTGATGATGGAGAATTAAGCAAACAGTACTTTCTACCATAGCAGAACTTCCTCAGAATAGGAAGAGTTAGTAATTCCAAAGTGAACTCATTCTTGTCAGACCCACTGAAAACGAGAGTTGGGAAGTAATGAGAGAGTTGTTGCCTCTCTGTGGTAAATTCTTTTGCAAGACTCCAGAGAGCTTTCTCCTTGCAGATATGCAGATCTCTGTGACGAAGTTCACCTATAATAGCTGTTAAAACTGCAGCAATTCCCCTCCCCCCTACACCAAGGCTGAGCAAAGTGTCCCAGCATAGGCCCCAGGCTCCGAAAAACCAGTCCATGCACCAAGGACAGGTCTGACTGAGTCTACCAGGCTGGGCTGACTCCCCAGGGAGACCTTGCCTTGGAGGAGGTGGGAATGGGGGGGTGGGGTGGGGTGGGGGATGGGAGGAGGGAGGATGGGGGAAATACGTGGCTGATATGTGAAATTAAGTTAATTATAAAATAAAAATAGCAAATTGATGAGAGAAAAAAAAAACTGCAGCAATTCAGACAAGAGGTGCTTATTGGAATCTTTGCCCAGCAATGGACCCTCCACCAGGAGCTCAGCCTAGCTGCTGATTCAGGTCTCCCACACTGATGGATTTTGTGTACAAGTATTTCACATGAAGTCCTTCTTCCCTTTTGCCATCAAACACTCCTTTTCCTCAAGCTTCTTAAATGTACTGATAGTTCATCATGGTGCCATAATTCTGAATGGAAAAAAATGTGCCTCAGAAGACTTCAGACTGTCCCTATTTAAGAATAAGTGATGGTTTTCTAAGCAAAGCCAAACAATGCCTTGGTAATGGACTTGGTTTTTGAGGATTGCCTAGGCAGCTCCCTAACCTGTGGCCCGAGTGGCGCCATCACCTCTCCTTCCTGGGACTGCCAAGGATCCTGAATGCTTTGCACAGTTAAGTATAGTATCTGGAACTCTCCTATTCATATTAATATTGTTCTTGCTTGTTGCAAGGGTCTCTGTGACCACCATGGTCAGCAGAGTGACAAGTCACCATAGGTAAGAAGGCAGTTTGGTTCAACCCGACTCAATAGCTGGTGTTAGTTCAAACTTCTGGAGTCTGACGCCGAGTAACTTATTTTAGGAATATTTAAGCACAGCACAATTTGGTGAAAACTTATTCTGATGATAACTCAATTCCATGTTCTCAACAGAGCATACATAAATCCTTTTTACTCTTTGTAAAGTCCATAAAGATAGTTTCTATAGATGGACTGAGAAAAACAAGCTTATGATTAGGATCTGAGGGAGTATCCAGTGCCAGAAAAGTCTCTAGCCACACAGATGGAGAAATGTTCAGCAGGCCAGTAAGCACACTGGCTCCAACCTTCTCGGTGGATAATGGGTACAGCATTTCTTCCTTTAAGAAACAACCCAGTGTGCTTAACGTTCTCGGTTCCAACAGTGCTTATCTGTGAGCCCCAGGTCCTCCATAGCTCTACAAGTTATGCAGAAGACAAAAGAGTTGTAAAATAATAAAATTAACATTTAAACCATCACCTGTATCATTTATTATCTTACTGTCCTACTCCTCCTTCAAGAGAGACACACAGGCAAATGTGCCAAAGATTGTTCTTAGGGTTTGAGAATGAAATGGTCACTATTGACTCGTGTGGTTGGTTCTCAGATGTCATGTAAACTTTAGGATTCTGAGCCTACCTGGAGGAAGGAGAGCATGTGGTGGGTGTGATTTTAGAAGCTGGGCCTGGTCCCCAGTCCTTTGCTCTGTGTTTCATGCCTCTCGTGAGAGGAGTAACCTCTACCACACACTCCCATCCTGTGATGTTTGGTCTAAGTGTAAGGGGCCAAGTGATCACATACTGACCTTTCTGAAACCATGAAAAATTATCTAATATGATTAACTTGTCATTGTCTTAAGTTATCGTGATAATTGCAATGTTTCTCCCTTTCCTCCCTCTAAACCCTTCCACATACCCATCTCTGCTCTCCTTCAAACTCATGGCTACTTTTTTTTTATTAACTGTTATTAGGAGCATATACAGCTAAATATAACCTGCTCAGTTCATATAATGTTACTTGTATGCATGTTTTCATGGTTGACCATTTGGGATTGGACAAACAAACAGTGTATGCTCTTCTCTAGCAAAGAACACATCTCCAGATACGATTATTAGCTGTATAGCCAGATATGATAGGCCTTTGTCCTTCATTTCTCATGCTGCCCTGGAAAGAATTTCAGTAGCTATGTTGGTGTTTATCAATAGTCATGGGATAAAACAACTTCAAGCAATAGAAAGATGCTTTATTTTTAAGTAGATGGACAATTATTTAGATTCAACTAAATGTGCACAAGAGACAGATATTTCCAGAAAGGACAAGCTATCCTACATTAACATGATACTCAAAAGACACAAATATAATACAAATATCTTGTGTTCATATCTAAGTTGGAGACATTTTTGTAGAAAAGGAAAGCAGAGATGGGGGGGATAGAGAGCAAATACTTAGAGTATGTTTTTATTTGCAAAAGGTCAGGAGTAGAATTAATTTTCTAAGTGTCTATTACAATGTTCTTGCTGTAGAACTCAGGAAGCATTTGTAAATATTTGTG